GCTTTGTCAGAGATAAAAACTGTAGTTGAGGATGTTTTCAATATACCTCTAGGAGAGGTTCAAGCACACATAAGAAAAGTAAGTCATCCAACAATACTATTAATTGTCTTCTGATTTCTCACGTAAATATAGCCAAGCAGTATCAACACTGAATTTCGTCTCATTAGGACTTAAATGCTTTTTCCATATTGGTGTTTTGTTATCTATGCGTTCTCCATGAATTTAACTCAGTTAATGGATTATGACGTTTCCTAGCGCACCAACAGGTTTATGTTTTCTTAAAGGTATTTAGGATCGGTACCCTTACGCTAAATGTCAAAACGTCGTTTTCTTTCGGAAGGGAGGTAGAGACGGATATGTATATTTTGCGACCATGTGCTGTTATCTTTAAGATATATAACCTAATCCCGTAGGTAAATACCGAAGGTCAGAGAGTATGTTAATACCCGTGCTGGTCCTTCATCATTTTTGTTTCTCTTATTGCCCGCTTATTATAATTGTATCTGTCGTTTTCATCTTACTTATTCCAAAGTAGAGTAACTGGGACTCTACCTATGGTTATCATTCGGACCTTTACAATTTTTTCATAGTTCACTGTTATCAATTTATAGCTAATGTATACTAGTGAGTTAAAACACAGATCTTAAATGGATTTAATTCCGATGAAGATCTGGAAAGTTCAGGGCTAACTTTTTAGGCACGTTTCGATACTCAGCATTTGGTCATATTCGTACTGTAATGTAAACATATATCAATAACGTATATGGTCTATGTGTTTTAAATCAAGTTATCAGTGACGGTAAATCAAGGAGATAAGATTTCCACTTATATTGTCTGGGGTTAAGGCGGGACAAAACAATACGCAACCGGGTTATGCAACTTAAAAGCATATTCAAGTCCCATTGCCAAGGAACCTTGCTAGTTCTCACATACACAGTATTTGGAACCATTAGGATAACTGAGTAACATATGTCCATACTTTTCGAGTATTCCATTATTTATGGCTAGTAATAACGTAACCTAACACTCATTAATGTTACTTTATAGTCACTTGGCTTTATCTTTTGCGTACCATTTTCCTTTTGGTGGACATTTCAATAGTTATGTTGTTTTACTTGGTGTAAATTCTCGTAATCGGTTATTTTCAAGGTTTTCAGTCTTTTTGGTAGATTATATATTCTCAAACAAATAGCATCGGTAGATTCGTTATTTTGATAACGTGTATAAGAAATCTTATCAACGTCACGTACTACTCAAAGGGTAATTTGCTAACTATCAATTTTCTTAGTCTTTTGTTTTGCTATTTAAAAGAAGTTTTAGAAACATAATTAACTTCTGTGTGATCTTTTTCGTAAATATAGAACAGGACATGATTGCTCCTGTTGCAGGTTTACAATTCAAGCGTAGAAGCAAATTTAACAATTAAATATTTTATGTATCTGACTTCAAGCCTCTAGAAGACCAGCTTCTGCTGTGGTGAGGGAAAAAATCTGAGATTGTCAATAGTCAGGCACTGACTATCACGCCACCAATCCAGAGTATTTGGTTATCATCAAGTAAACAATAAATGCTCTGGTACAGCCGAGAGTGAGGAAAGTCCGCTCTCCCTGTCAAAATGCTCTCACATGACCACGCGTATTTAACCTCTGCCAGGGAAGTCCTACTCACTGCCTTCTCGTGGCGGGGATATTGTTTACGGAATTGAGAGGACAAAAAGAGAATGTCCGGCGTTTTAACCGTGTGGGTGGACACGAAAACTCCACCTAGGGGAGTTGGATAACCCTGGTTTCAAACCAATGGTGCACATGCGCTCCAGGACCCTGAGGAAACAAATGGCGTCTGAACCAATCGTTGGTCACCGGCCACCATGGGACTGAATGTTCTTACATTGCTCCATTGCCTTGCGGATCATACCTTTGGGTCGAAGGCTCCAGGTGTGGCCCCATAAGGTACTCACCTACTTCTGTTTGGCCACCTGAGCACTATCATAGCCCTCACACAAATCAAATGAGATTTGTGTGGCGCACATGTATCTGGTGCCCCCTTGTACCAATATCGATGTGTTCAAATAATTATGAATAAACAATAACCACCCAGTAGAATAAAGTATTTTACTAAGTAGGGTAGCAATTTAACAATTTAATTCGACTTTTCACCGTAACAATATTTTTGTTGGGTTATTTCCTTAACTCCAGATTAAAGAAATTGCAGAGCTTGATATACCACACGCATCTCATTCGGTTGGAGAAATTCTTGCCGAGTTGACTACAAAAAATGTCAAACGAGTCAGTTTGGGATTTCGGTGTTTTAAAGATGTGCGAGCCTATTTGCCTGATACAAAGGGGCATGATCTGGAAGCTGGTGTCCTGAAAAGTGTTAAATTGGTGACTCAAGAGGTTCTTTCCGGAAGCACTTTGAAGTCTCTGATGTTAAGCTCAGAAAATGTTTTGTCAGACTCCACCACATCTTGTAGGATGAGTGTGGAGTCCAGTGATGTTCAGAAAGCATCGATGGATTTTCCAATTGATCATCTTTTTGGCCTGGTTGTGTTCCTCAGATATCTTATTACTAATCTAAATGCTTCTGATGATTGTGAATCCTACGTATGTATTCCACCCATTGAACCCTGCATAGACTTTTGTTTACTTGTGGATGCTGTTTGCGAACTCCAAGTTCAATTTGTCAGATTAAAAAACTCTGAAGTGAATGAAACCGGCTTGTCTCTACTAGATGCCTCGTGCGCCCTTTTATCTGAAACCAGCTGGAATAGCTTGTTGTATCAGTTATTTGATGGTTTCTCTCACGGACTTATGTATTTCAATTCCGCTTTAGCAAGTGTCAATGTAAGAGTCCTTAACGGTGCCTGGCAACGTACTTGTAGTTTGGATGATCGGGAGAATGACTCGTATCAATCTTCCACAGATTGCACATCTGCATCGTATCTCTCCATGTTAATAAATAAATGCCTAAGTGGGATGCGCACACTACTAGTCGAAGAACAGTTACCGACAAAAATACTCCGTTCCACTGTTTTAGACCTGCTAATGTACGCTTCCGAGATGGCTGCTATTCAAAACACCACTTGTCAAGATTGGACGGAATCAAACCAAGTATATGAAGAAATCGGTTCCAAACTCAATCTTTCTGACGAGTCGTTAGGAGAACTAGATGGGGAACAAGCAGCTGATTTTGAGGATTTTTTGATAGAATCTGGACAGTTATCAAAAAAATGACATATTGTAACCTTTCCTAGTACTGTGTATATTGTCTTTCTTAGTGTACAAATGTATGAAGATTTTTTAGTCTCCCTATCATAACTTGTCTAATCGATTATCTTGTGTGTTTATTTCGAAGCATTTATCTTGCTACCTCTTAATCTAAATTGTATTCTCGTCAGCTTACTCTTTATTAATTTGATGTATTACTTTATAAATAAATGCTCTTGAAAATTCGATTAATAAGCTGTTATGTTTTTTTTAGCAACAAATCAAGACGTTATAGAAGTAGTGCATTATCCCAATCAATGAGGACATTATCAGTTGATATGCGAAGCTGAGTTGATTAGGTCTTTATGTCAGACATGATCTAGATGTTAGTTTGAAGTCTCTGATATCGTACACCTGTAATTATGTAGTTGTATTAAGATGACTTACTGCAAGCATGACATTACTTAATGCAGCATTATAGGCGACAGCATGGAATTAACGAATTTGAATTCCAGAGACAGATGTTGCGCTATTTGTAAAAAGCTAATTAGTTCCGCTGAAATTTCAATAATAACGAGATTGAGAACAGTAGGTAGATCTAGCAGTACATATGCCCTTGTAGTAAATGCGTAGACACTACAAGCTTTTAGATAACAGTTCGCCAGGGTGATCGTATATGAAATAAATTGTGGTAGAGGTCTTAGTAATACGTTGGAAATATGATTCGCATGTTTCTCGACAAACATTGGCTATAAATTCTGGATCTTGCTGGTGCATAAAAGAAACGCAAAATAGAATTGTTAATCATGAGGATGGTAACAAAGTAAAGATTGAAAAACTTGATGTGATATTTTACAGATTCCCCACACTTGTCACCTTGGAGATTCCATATAAGTAGCTATCCTTCATAGTGCAAATTAGCTGCAATATCAGAGGACCTACTGAGGGGATGAATATTTATTTAAATTAGAGACTAGACTATCTACAGAAATCGAGGCATACTGGTCTTGTATAATACTGGTTGAATCCCATTGGTATAATGGAATTTGCACGTGGCTGTTCAGACATGAAAACTCGGGATGCCGTCAAGCCCGTTTAGGCAGTTCGAATTTCACGTTGACATGGTCAACAAAGTGTAGGACCCGGAAACACTTCCGACTGATAGCTAAGTAATAATCTCAGAGAAGTAAAAAATCTGAAAAACAACCTACTCAGTTAAATAAGTCCAGTCTAACCATCTTTATTTTTGCTTTTAGATGTAGTAATCTCCGTTTAATCACTCCGCAACTTACTGTGGGCAAGTCTGTACAAACTTTCAGTAGTATAATTTTCACCTATTTAATAACGATATATGATTTATCTGGTTTCATATCTAGTTAGAATGTATGATTTAATGACTACAAGTAAATTAACAGATGAAATATTCTCAATACTAACAAGGTAACCCAATTAACTGCAATGTCTGATCACAGGCTACTGAATTTTTCTGAGTTAGAGGGGACGAATATCACGTAATAAACTCACCCTTGTAGAAATGAATAACATAACTCAGTAGTTAAGTAAATTTACGATCCGGTTTTTGAAACGATGACAGATGAAACCATGGCACATAAAAGTAGTGTTTTAAGTAAAATGAATCTAATGTTGGGTACTATGTAAATAGGTGTTATTAAGGTGATTATGGTGAAATATACGTAAAATATTGGTTTATTCCCTAGAAGAAATTTATTAAACTGTAGCAGCACTGTTGGCTTTCAAAAATCTCCAATGTCGTTGGATGCGGTAGCTACATTGCTACATATTCGATTTCGCTTCCCACCGTTCTTTAGCCTGAAAACTAGAAATAAAACCAGTGTTATATAAGGGAATGTCGATTCCTAAAATTATTTTATTTAAATATGATGTTCACCAGGCGGTTTCTGCTAAAATAGTACTGGACAAGCTAATTTGCTTTGAAACTAACAATATTCATTCACGACGTGAATTCACTTGTAATTGATCGATAGTTAGTTCCAAGTAAAATCCTACAGTAAGGCGACAGGTCATCGCTACATCAAGCAATAACTAAAAAAACGATCCATTATAAATAATTAGATATTTCATCAGTTATATGCATGACACAGTCCTCAAAAATAAATTAAGCACCAAGTGTTCTAAATAATATAATATTTACTTCATGGTCATTTTCTAACTACGAGAAAAGCATGATAACAGTAGTTTGTTTTTAGTTGCCTAACTTATATAATCATACAAAACAAAAATACGGAAAATGCCCATAAGTGACTTTATGTCTTAGCATTATGTAACTACGCAGACGAGTATCCAAGCAAAGTGATGATACCCACAGGTTTAAACATTTTAAGATAGACTAAGATAGAAGAGTAACAAGGCTTGAAATGCCTCTATACCAATTAATACTCATTGGATTCCTAAGACCTCAATGAAACTAAATACCTTTAAAAAAACATTTATGATAGTAAATAAATTTGTTACAATCCCGTTCGATATTGTAAAAAATGACTTTAATAGTTTTAATAAATCAACGTATAGTAACCTATTAAAATATTGAATATTTTACCATACATACACTTTGTTTAATTATTTTAATACATATTTAAATGTAAGTCACACATATGAAATTATGACAAAATCGAATGCTGAACATGTTAAATCGATACAAAGAATATCTTATCTTCAATAAAAATCACACTGACAATGAAACTAATACTAAGCAAGTTATTACACTGAAAATAAAACGAATATTATTCTGAACAGTATTCACATTGAATTAAGGAAAAAAGGTTTGTCTTACCTTTTTATCTGTTCTGACCAGAATAGTCTTAATATAGTAAACGAAATCATCGATTTTAGGTAGTAAGAATGTAATATCCAACAGCCTGTCTACTTATCTTAACTTTTCATGAAATCAACTTACACAAAAGTGAAATAATACTTAATTAGAATTTATTTCCAGATGTCATTAATTATATCATATTACATTAGCGTGTAACTTCGACTGAAAGCATCGTGAATGAGGCGTCACTTCAGTTAGCAGTTCCCAAAATGACAATGAAATTTTGGTGATTTGTATTATCACAATTCTCTTTACTTAGTCTTTTTTTACTGGCTTCAGAGTATATACCTGTGATAAATCAGTAAAAACTTAATAAAGTATTTCCACTTAATTTGTTATCAGTATTTCTGTGCTTTTTATTGGTTTTACCCTTCAGTGGGTTTTTTCATCCTAATTGACGTATAATAAATAATAAGATGATAATATATTTGTAATATCCCAATAAATAGTAAAGTGAATTTCTTCCGTTATATTCACTAAATAAGAGACTTATATTAAGTCGCAAAATATCAGAATTTTAATATTTTACTCATTGATACATTTTAATAGCATATTTTTATTCATTTTGTTATAAACTATTCGCCTAGTGCTTAATTCATTTGAAAATGTCCAGTCACACCTTGGTAGCAACACTTATGTTTACTTTTGTTAGTCTATGCTTAGAAAGGAGACACTAAGGAAGATTGGTACTTCAAATCACTGATTTTATTTCTGATCCCGAAAATGACATTACATTAGACGTCTGGTACAACAGATATGAAGATTTGTTTGAAATTTAATTGGTTGATCTAGACAATGGCACAAGAGCTTTTCCTTTCTTCAGGAAGTTGTTAATACATTAAATATACGAATGTTATTCTGCCGAAATTGTCTAGAGACATTAATTTGTTGATAATATTTATTATCATTTGAAAGATCACTAGCCATTACAGTTGTTCAAAAATATCCAAGTTACCTACCGATGATTTCCTATCTTATGTTGATAGACTGAATCGATCATGAGGGCGTTTTAGTCTGTGTTCACTAATCCGAAACCAATTCAGATATTTAATTTTTGCATTGAATTTCAATCACTATTCGGTTTTAAAATCCCCCAAATGCCCTGGTACGGCCGAGAGTGGGAGAGTCCGCTCTCCCTCTCTAAATGCTCTCACATGGCCACGCGTATATAGCCTCTGCCAGGGAAGTCCTACTCACTGCCTTCTCGTGGCGAGGGTGTTGTTTACGAAAATGAGAGGACGAAAAGCGAATTTCCGGCGCTTTAACCGGATCCCAAACGAATGGTGCACATGGGCTCCAGTATCCTATGAGAACAAATGGCGTATGAACCAATCGTCGGTCACCGGCTACGATGGGACTGCATCTCCTCACGATGCTCCACTGCCTTGTGGGTCAGACGTTCAGGTCGAAGGCTCGGGGTGTGGCCCTCTAAGAAAACCACCTGCTTCGGTTTGGGCACCCGGGCAGTATCACAGCCCTCACACAAATCAATTGAGATTCGTGTGGCGCATATGTATTTGATGCCTCCTTGTACCAATACCTATGTGTTAAAATAAATAATAACTCGTATTTTAGCACTTATAGAACAGGATAGATCTCTCTAACCTCTAAAGTGTGACAGGGGGTTCCAACGAACTATGAGTTTAAAATGAGACACAAAACTAATTGGGAACAGGGAAGATACCTATACAATGAACTAACGGTGCCGAAATATGAGCTAACAAACAAAGAAGCAGTCTAGAGGAAAATTAGCACTAATAAAAATACATACTCTTTAATTTCGATGTTTATTTACAAAAGTATGCACTGGATCTTTACTGCTTAAAACAACACATTGTAGAGACCTTTTGTTTTTATTTGACGTCAAGTACAATAATCATATAGACAATGTTTATGAAGTATTCCTATAAAGACATAAAATAAATGTAATAAGTAGTTATTGATGTGAAAAATACTGTATTTAACACATAAACGGATCGGGAATCATATGGTACCACGCGTCAAACACATCTGATCGAACTCTTCTGGTTAGTATAAGTAGCATGACATACTAAGCTAGCCATCTACTGTTCTTCAACATTAAGGAATACAATAAATGACAAATTAATGCGAGATATGCAGGAAAATGCAGATGGAAAATATAAACCTTGATTTTACGGCTCTCTTATTTACGAACCTCATAAAACATACTATTTGGCTCACTTTCATGATTATATCTATGAACACAATAATTGGTTAAGAATCTAGTTTTTATTTGTTTCTCATGCGTATCGTTCAAACCGCTCTTTTGTACAGAAATAATCTCAAAAATCTGTTTAAAATTTGCATTAATAATTATTTACTAAAGAGATTAAATGCCAAAACTTTAAATTGAATAAAACTCTATACATGGATTTTTGGTTAATTAAAGGTCACACGAAAAGTGAAATAATGTGAGAAAGAGATAAATTTAATAGAGAAAAACATGTTACATTTTAATGTAGAATATTGATTCCTTATAACTGTTCATAATAGTGAACCGTATTCTTATGATAAACTATGAAATTATAACGGAGATACCATCAAAATGAGTCAAGTTTTCACATTTCCATTCGTAACACAGGAAAAAGAGACGAAAACAACAATTCACAAGAATTAAAGTGGAGCGTCAGCCTAAGTGGTCAAAGCACCTAGCTTTCAACCAGGAGATTAAAGTTCGATTCTTACTTCGGGTACAAGCAACCCAATAGTATCATTAGCTTTAGAGAAATTGTGGTTCTCAGGTTCGTATATAAATCTGTACTTGATAAATAAGTAACATAGGCACAAACTAGAAAGAAGGCTAAGCCAAGGACTGAATAAACAAATGTTTTATACCTAATATTTTAGCTAAAATCTGGGAGTTAGACGTTATCCCATCTAACTGGTCACAATCACTTATCGTCCCAATATTTAAGAAAGGGTCAAAATCATCCTGTGACAACCACAGAGGGATTAGTTTAACTAATATAATATCTAAAATACTAGCTTCGATAATTTTCGGACGCCTAACTAAGACTCGTGAGCTGCAAACACGTGAAAATCAGGCTGGCTTCAGACCTGGTCGTGGCTGCATCGACCACATATTCACCATTCGTCAGGTTCTAGAACACAGGCATACTTATCGGCGCCCGACAATAGTGGTCTTCCTTGATTTAAAAGCAGCGTTTGACTCTGTTGACCGAGAGGTTCTGTGGCACTGTCTGTCGTTGAAAGGCGTACCTCAGAAGTACATAAACCTTGTGAAAGCTCTTTACTCGAACACTACTAGTCGAGTGAGAGCTTATGGCGAACTGTCATCTGCTTTCGTAACGTCAAGTGGCGTCCGCCAAGGCTGTCCACTTTCTCCATTTTTGTTTAACTTCATCATAGATCTACTGATGGAAATAACGCTCTCATCGACTGAATTCTCAGGTATTGATCTCCTACTAGGAGGTCCACTTATTGACTTAGAATACGCAGATGACATAGTCCTGTTTGGTGAAGACGCTGATGAAATGCCGAGTCTTTTGGTAGCACTGAGCAACAATGCCAGGATGTTTGGGATGCGCTTTTCCCCCTCTAAATGCAAGTTGTTGCTTCAGGACTGGTCTGCGTCAACACCTGAACTAAGGATAGGGGATGACGTAGTCGAACGCGTCGACAACTTCACTTATCTTGGAAGTCTGATCAGCCCTAATGGGTTGGTGTCTGACGAAATCTCAGCACGGATTCGAAAAGCTCGTTTGGCCTTTGCCAACTTACGTCATCTATGGCGAAGGCGAGATATCCGTCTATCAATTAAGGGACGAGTATACTGCGCGGCAGTTCGTTCCGTTCTACTATACGGCTGTGAAACATAAACTTTAAGAGTAGAAGATACTCGTAAGTTACTAGTATTTGACCACAGGTGCCTTAGAATTATTGCGGGTATCTGCTGGGACCACCAGGTAAGTAATAGTGAGGTTAGATGCAGGGTATTAGGGAATGATGGTAAATCAGTTGATGAGGTTATGAACCTTCATCGACTAAGATGGTTGGGCCACGTGCTGCGTATACCTGAACACAGATTACAACGACGCGCAATGGTAACCGGTGTTAGGGATGACTGGGAGAAAGTTAGGGGCGGCCAAACCAAAACGTGGCATCAGTGCTTGAAGTCACTAACTTCTGGTCTGAGCCATGTTGGTAGATGCAGACTACCTGGTTGGGGTCCGCGTGACTATCGTAACCAATGGTTGGAGACTCTTGGTGACATGGCTCAGAATCGATCACAATGGCGTCGGTGTATACACTCTCTGTCTTTCTTTAAACTAAGAGATTAAAATCACTTCAAATCTTTCTTTCTAGGAACTAATTCTATCTTCCTGTACTATCTCCTTATACACAATCTTTCTTCTATATATTACCACCACTGAATTAACTACTTCTATGAATCCGGTGTTCATCTTGTTGTGCTAATGCGGTATGGCAACTTGGACCGATGCATATACGTGCCTGGTCCTACGTTGCAGCTGACTGACTGACTGAATTAAAGGCTTGGATTATCTCGTTACTGATTAATCTTAACTGAATTTTTTTATTGGTCTTAATTGGGATATATACACCCTGAGCGGATAGCCTCAATATAACCATTTTCACAACCTTTAACTGAATAGATGGGTTTTGGCTAGAACTAAATCCAGAACGATTGTTTCATCTTGTTTGGGGCACGTCAGCTGGATGCATGCGATTCACGTACATTCAGCGGATCAGTCTAAAACAAAACAAAATGCGTGTCCTGTATTTCGATGATATCCGCAATCCATCTTTTATATGAAATGTTTGTAGTTGAGTTTAAAAAGATGTGAAAATTTCAGCAACCATCTTACTGAACTATGACGTTTAAATTATCAACAAGTAATCCCTCATATCTCAGATATAATAAGCATGTTGAGAACTCTTGCAAACATTTTAAATCAAGAGATGATAACTGATAATTAGATGGCAAATAGACTTGGTTTGGCCACCCTGAAACTTTCTCGTGTCTAACTTAACAATGAAGATCGGAGTAGGTATTGACTAATCCTGAGTAGAATTTATTCAAACTTTTTCACCGATTGAATGTAGACAACTTTATCAGATAACTTTACTTCCAGTGTAATAAACCTCATCAAAAGAATTTGTGTTATTCGTCTATAAGACTTAGTGCGTATACACAATTGTTGCTTCAAGGTGATGACTACGTATATGTGGTTTGTTTCTGTGGTACATATTCCCCTTTAGCTTTTCAAAAGTAAGCTTTTAGACAGAACAATCAGTTGAGTGCAACAAGTCATGTGATTTGGTGTATGTTAACAAGACAATTTGTATTACTGAGGAAATAAGCCACCCATCTATCATGTGAATGAGTAGTTCAGTGTATTTTAACTGGATGACTTTTGTAATCAAACTGTCATGATGTATTAGGCACGAGTTCTTAGCATTAGTAAATTCATAATATGGGGCCATCACTACCATACAATACCACTAGTGAGTATCCATCTTTGATTTTACATTTATCGATACTGTAATAAAAGTATTTTACCGAATAAAAAATCAACCTTGTTAATTTTCAAAATTCACAAAAATATACAGACAAACACTTACAGATATGGTGTTCCATAAAAAAGCATAAAACATAAGAAAAGCTGACTCAATAAAACATAAACTTACAGCCAAACAGGTCGCCGATTTTTTAATTCCCCTTTGTATTCATCTTGCTTGTTCAAAGTCAAATGGATATTTTTGTCGGCAGAAGCTGTAGACAACAACTATATATTTGAGGAAGAATCGAGGTGGATGAGAAAAGCTGACACAATAAATTACTGTTTATTAATTATGTTTATACTTAAATGGATTATATTATTAATGTATTATAGTTGTCGAACCAGCTATACTTTCTGAATAAAGTAATCTTTCAGAACTTAGCAACTGAGGATCAGCACTAGAAATAATTGATACGCTGTGTCAGTCAGACTTAGGCTGAATGATAAGTGAGAAATGTTGATTAGCGCATGTTACTGACCAAGATTCGGCCTGACTTTTCAGGGAAATAAACATAGGCTACAGATTGAAAATGTGGCTTCATTTTCTGAGGGACACATATTTATGTTTGAGTTGTGTATACATTTTTCAACCGGCTAGCCAATCAAAAATTCCTGCTCACTCTCGGTTTTTACACTCACGTAGCTTATTTGGCTACATATATAATAAGCGTGTTTTTTATTAGTAGCAAACTCGAACAACCGCAGAGCACAGCAGTAGTTTCTGATGTCAAACCTATTTTGTTATAAAACATCTTATAATAAATCTTTTGATCACTTAAACATGGGTTTTCAAAACATATAGACTATGACTCAACCAGTAAAATATAATAAAAATTATTTGTGAATTCCCATTAATTACGTGCTCTACGAATGAGTCATGAATATTGCAGATTGCCATAAAATGTGCTAACAAGTTGCAATTTTTATTTGAGTGAGTAGCGCAACTATACGAACTAAACGTTTTCATCAAAGAAATATTAATCAATATGCTATATATGACACTTTCTTTAGAAAAAAACACAGTTAAGATGCGCTACTTTGTTTGTGATTTAACTGAATTCAGTTACGATGTCAGAAATAGATGATCAAATAATTTATTATTTATAATATAAAAGATTGCACGTTCGATTTTCTATGTATTTCAAGCTCTTCTAGAGTTACTGCACGGCCCGAATTCGGATAAAAGAAGGAGGGTTGAGCATGAGGTCAGAAACCCCACTCCCTAGAAAACAATCTTGCTAAAATAACATCATCCAGATTAAAAAAATCAATCCATTTAAACTATGGCCTCTAGTTGAAGGAAGAATCATGACACTTCATAATGAAATCCGAGATTCTTAGGAAGTTACGAGGCCGATGCCCCTTTTAGCAACCAGAGCAACAATTTTTACAGGTACATGGAACCTTCGCACAATATGGAAGACCGAGAGGACCAGTCAAATAGCTACAAAATGAGGACATACAGATGACGATGCTCGGAATCAGCGAAGTCCATTGGACCAAAGCTGGACAGCAAAGACTAGATATCAGAGAGATGCTGATGTACTCCGGTCACAAAGAGGAAAATACTTCACACGCTCAGAGAGTTGCTCTGATGCTGTACAAAGAAACACGAAGTGCACTTATGGGATGGGTATCTCACCGATTCAGTCATCAAAACATCCTTCAAAACAACGAAGGAGGAAATTACAATGAATCTTATCCAATCTTATGCACCCACTAATGATAGCAATGACGACGATTAAGATCATTTCCATGAGAGGCTGTAATCGATCATAGCGAAGTGTTCAGGAAAGGACTTCACCATCCTGATGGGAGACCTAAACGCAAAAGTCGGAATGGACAATATCGAATATAGGGATATCATGGAAAGACATGGACTAGGAGAAAGGGACGAAAATAGGGAGATTTACAAACCTATATGCATTCAACAAAGTGGTTATAAGCGGTCCAATATTCTCACACAGACGCATACACAAAGCTATATGGACCTCACTGGACCACATCACGGAGTACCAGATAGATCATAATCGCAGTTCACAGATTCTCTTGAGTCATCGCCTGCAAATGTTGGGACTATGATCTAGCAATTCTTAGGTTAGACGCGGTGTACTAGATAAGGATAATGAATCGATTGTTAATGTTAATGAGTTATCAACTGAGGTGGTTGTGACATATATATTAATATAAGGCTTTATATATCCCTAGCCACCACTTACAGCAGTGCACAATCATGACTGGTGTATGAGTACATTGGAAGAAAGCTAGGGGTAACTAAACCGAGACATAACGATTTGACTAAGCCATATAGATAAATGCAAACCACCTAGTTAGATCTCCGTGAATATTGTAATCAGTGGCTGAAGCTGTTGTGTGAAATAGCCGAGAATCGTTTGAAATGCCGCAGGTGCATCTACTCTTTGTCTACCCTTATATCCCTAGTCCGAAAATATATATACATATATGTATCTATATGTTAATAATAAACAGTTCGCTAATAGTTATTAATTAAAATGGGAGAAAATGAATTACTTCGTGGTTCGAACTCACACTTGAAAATCTACCTTTTAAGGGTATTTGCATAAAATACGATTCAGAGTACAAAAGTAACAGGAAAACCATAAGATATAACTTACATGATCTCCAATGGAGTCACTTATATTTTCTGCTAGGTCAACCTGCCCAGAATCGATCGCGTGGTTCAAACGCCATTCTAAAGTGCCTTTACGTAAACTTTCAGCATGAATACGACTTAGGTCTTTAGAAGTAGATGTGTTTATAACTACTGAAGTGAGAGGAGACTTGAAAAGAAAAGTTATATAGTTAGTTTTAAAAAAAGCACTGACAAAGGATAGTATTTGATTTACTTAAAATGAAAACCATAACAGATGTAACTGGGTTTCATACCTATCGAAACTTACCGATATTCCGTAAAAAGTATTGCCCTTACAAAATTCCAGGTCGTGAATGTTAGATACTCATTATAAAGTGTGACCGGAATAAACAATGCAACTTAAAGTTTTAGGGACAGTAAATCAGACCGAAGACACCAAGTTGAAAATTCAAATACCACATATATGAAGTTGTGAGAAAACTAAACTATCGGACCGAGTGAAAATCAAAGTACTGAAACTATTATCTGATAGCATGAAAATTATGGACTATGATGTGAAACTTGTATTAATAAAACACTGTATACTTTAAAGCTTAATATGTGCAGAGTCATGTATTGAACTACTGACGAAACGTGGCATACAAGGAATGAAAATGCTACCTTGATGCTAGTTTGAATTAGAATGAACGGGAATTCACGAGTGACCATTTGCTGAGTGAGCACTGAAATCATATACACTCGGATAGCTTTGACTGTTAATAAAGCTCAAACATAAGCACTGATGGTTATATTTCTTTGTATTTAAATTATCACTTTATATATATATATATATATATATATATATATATATATATATATATATATATATATATATATATATATATATATATATATATATATATATATATATACTGATGAAAAGAACCAAGTCTATTAGTGGAAAGTAGGAATGAAGTTTACTATCCTATTATCGTTAGTGGAAGAAAAATTATTATACCGTTTTATTTGTCAAATCCATTGACTTCATCAATTTTCTTTGTTTCCAAGGTCGCAGAGTTATATCTTGCTTATTTATCTCGGATTCAATTGCACGGAGGCATGTAGCAGTCACTGATGATTTTGGCACAATTTCTAAAACTATATGTGGACAACTCTAGTTACTACACTAAGAAATTTCTAACCATCGTTAATGATTTTCCTTTTTAATTCAACTTTTCGGATCTTCGTAGAACGAGAACACATAATACGTTTGCGTTCCTGAAGAGAATGTAATTTCTACACGAAAGCTTGATTTACTTTCTAACGAAAGATACCTGCAATAATTCTTCACGCATGATTTACCATCCATAAACGTGTGTATTTTTACGGACTAGCAAACGCTCCTTCATTTAATCCGATTAATCGCCCTTCAGTTGATCTGAAAAAGGGGTGAATGAGTGATAATAAATGCGAATAAAACTAAACTCTATCTAGATAATATATATTGGAGTTACCCAGTCGGGTTAGAATACGACGCCCGTAGCTATTATAATAAAGTATTTTAGGCTCTGTGATTGAACCGTTTTGGTTGTTATGATGAGTATTATTATTATTTTATTTTTATTGGTACAAGAGGGCGCCAAATACATATGCGCCACATAAATCTCATTTTATTTGTGCGTGGGCTGCGGTACTGCTCGGGTTCCCAGACTGAAGCAGGTGGTTTTCTTAGGGGACCACAACCCGAGCCTTTGACCCTAAGGTCTAACCCACAAGGCAGTGGAGCTTCGTGAGGAGATGCAGTTCCACGGAAGCCGGTGACCAACGATTGGTTCATACGCCATTTGTTTCCGCAGGATACTGCAGCTCACGTGCACCATTAGTTTGGATCCGGTTATAGCGCCGGACATTCGCTTTTCGTCCTCTCATTGTCGTGAACAACATCCCCGCCACGTGAAGGCAGTGAGTAGGACTTAACTGGCAGAGGCTGTATACGCGTGGCCGCATTAGAGCATTTAGAGAGGGAGGGCGGGCCCACCCCACTCTCGGCTATACCAGGGCATTTGGGGGCTTCGGTGGTGCATATACTAAAATTATGATGAGTATAATACTGATAGATGGTGGGTTTGAATAAAAACTGTTCAAGTAACCAAACTACTGATGAAAACCTAATGAACTGATTTCAAAAAGTGAAACAAATGACCAGTACGAGTTTCCTTCCTAGTGAAATGGCATACTCATGTAAAAACATCAAACGCTAACAAATACGAATAGTTGTTACTTAAGATGTAATTATTCAACTTCCAATGAAAAAGAAATAGACTATTCAGTTTAATTGCCACCAGTTGTATCGTCTCCTCAATAAGGCCTAAATTATATTTATGGCATTCGTTACCACATGCCATGTTTATTCCCATTGATTTGGTTTCATACTGATGTCCATGACGGTGAAAATAAACCATGTAAGTCGGATCGTACTGTAACTTTTCCCATATCATACTGACCTTAGTACTGCTTCGAATATAAGGTAATGCACTTGCAGTTGTATTCCTAAAAGCGAACAAGAAGTTCGTCATCGTCACCTGCAAGTTGTGATTAAAATAACAATACTTTCTACAAACAAAATGTTTAATTCCACAAAATTTCATAAATTGTCCAAGTAGAATTGAAGACATATGTGTATGCCGAGATAGCCTCTTTTAAACTGCAGTAAAGTCATTATTTGCCGCAGCAACTAAATTAAAATAAAAGGTTTCAGGAGTGGTAAATATTGTTTTTTCATAGTGGAGAAGGGTTCGTTTTAATGGTCATCCCAAAGATATAGATATTGAGAAACGAATCTTAGAATAATTAACCAGCAGGTTTTTCCTCACCATACAGTTTACAAGTAACATTATTTAGTAACATAATATTATGTTAGTTTCTGACATCTCTGAATAATAAAATTATGACAAGTGCTGCTCCCAAGGTATGCATCAGTATACTAAAGGAGGAAGAATTTTAATTGGTAAGTTTAGGTCTAATCGATCTAAAGTGAACTACCACTTGTCAAGTTTGAGAAACTGCTTAACTTTCTATCCAATTTAGCATGAACCCTGCTTTTTGAAGGAAGTCACTACAATTTATGGAAAACTTTATCAAAAATCTTCAAAATGGTTGCTTAAGTAACCATGTCAAAGTACGTAATACACCCTGGCGGTAGGAAAGGCATTTGGCATTTTGTGAATGATATTCATCATTACTAGAAGTTTATATTTTTTTCTGAGTAAGAGAGCTTTTATTGACGGGGAGATTTCGGTACTCTTACGAACAGTTTAATGTAACATATGGATTTAGGTGTATCAACATCTATATAACCTGGTCCTCCAAACATTAGTGTCGACTTTTCCCCCAAATCATAGACGTCAGCGGGGAAATCGACCTTTTTCTTTATTAACTCTGTGGTCAACTTTATTTCCACCTAGTTTGTGTTCATTTCCCCTTTTACGGTTGCCTAGGGTTACTTTGGAGTCATTTCACTAAAATTAATGTTGCCCAGACTTTCAGCGTTTTTAAACAATATTACGTGGTACTGTTGAATCCATATGATTACATGTAGTCACTGTTTGTTCATATATATGTGAACAAACGGCGATCTAAAAAGTGATTCAGGAGTAAACTAATATGCATATTTATGGACCAATTTCATTCAACACATCTGATCAAGTGGATTTAACTTATAAAAATTGTACATGAATGTAAAATTAGTTAGAACTACGGCTAGAGCATAACCTATGGATGACCTTTGAGCGGCGGTGAGACGACCTTGGAACAGCTACCGTAATTAGTATCAAAAAGGGTTACAAATTAGTATAGAAAGTTAGGATTAAGATTTGGGGTAAGGAACTAAATTTTTACCCTCAACTGATATCAGCTAAAACTATGTGGATGATTGAGTTCCGTGTCAAAACGAAAGGCTTTATGTTCTTAGTCTTGTAGTGACCTACTTTTGTCAACAGAACGCGATTGGTTCGATGAAAACAATTATTATTATAACCAATTGTACCAGTGATTGTTTTATTGTGCTCGTTTGTTTAACTGTGCTAATAACAGCCATTTTAGTCTTCCATTGTATTCCATTGCTTCTACGCGGATTTCGACTACGCACGTATCTTATCTTGCCGATCGCACCTGTACTCCTTTGGCACGATCTCGGTATTCTTTCGATACCACGAGATCGCCAACTAATATATACGACTACTACAATCATCTGCCTTCTGATATTTTGGCCTATCGGAATTTTATTGGTCTATTGGCAAGTAGTCTGGTAGCGGTGTTCATAGTTCAGCTCAACTCGACACCATGCTACATTTGGTGACCCAAATTTTGGAACACGCCTCACCTTCGGTCAAATCTTCTGCAACTGGTGAATCTACATCTACGACCACTTGGCAATCGCAACCAAACCTTCCAAAGAAGTCAATTTTGGTGAGTCTATCGCTTATCTATCCACGTCTGTCATATATTTTCATATTAATTTTTAATATATAATATATTTGACATGACGGATAACGATAAGAATAATATTAACGTAATAGACTCTGACGTACAGGTTATACACTTTCGACCTGTATCTTTTATTCCTCACGATCCCGAAGTTTGGTTTGCTGCCATAGAGTCTCAATTTGAGACCCGTCATATCACGAGCCAACGGCAGAAGTACACTTATGCTCTCGAATGTTTACCGGGAAACCATTTAGTAGCTGTCCGTGAGGTTGTCCTCAATTCCAATGTGCCCAATGTTTACGATCGTCTCAAGGAGGCGATCCTCAGATATTTCCTCCCATCGAGGGAGGAACGATTGAGGACGTTATTAGCACGTCACCCCCTGGGTGATGCTAAACCGAGCCACCACCTCACGCGCCTGCAATCTCTTGCAGGACCCACGGCAGCCGATTCTGAAATTGTTAAAGAACTGTGGCTCGAATCTCTACCAGCATTTATCCAACCTACAGTTACGGCCCTGCTCGAGGACGCACCACTGAAACAGGTGGCCCTCACAGCAGACAAAATTCTAGCTAGGACTGGCAATCGAGACAACTACGTAGTTGCCTCAACGTCGCGTCCGAAAGTCGATATCGACGGCAGCCACTCCTCAGCTCAAGGTGACAGGGAAGGGTGTATTCACACACGTCTTAGTTTTCGAGACCGTTGTAACGTACCCCAACCCTACGTCCCTCGAGTCCGCTCACGCTCCCGAAAAGCCGTCAACACTCGCCCAACGAGGGCATCTTCCAAGCCACGCCAAAAGGCGGCTTCGGAAGCGAGTGAAGGTTGGTGCTGGTTTCATCGATCCTTCGGATCTGGTGCCCGCCGTTGTCGAGCCCCGTGCTCATACAAGGCGGGAAACTCCAAAGCCGGCGAGTAAAAGCGGCCGTACTCGCCGGCCCTGCCCCCCAGGTTGGCGGTTTATTTTACGTGCACGATTATCGCACAAACGCTAGGTACCTAGTGGATACAGGTGCCCAAGTTTCTGTCGTACCACGAGGTATCATCAAGTCACAAGCTACCATGCTTCGACTACGCGCTGCAAATGGCTCAGCCATTCCTACCTACGGTACACGACAACTCGCGGTCAACCTGGGCAACCGACGACGGTATCTGTGGACGTTCATCATTGCTGATGTTCCCACAGCCATACTAGGTATTGATTTCCTACAGCACTATGAATTGCTAGTCGATTCACGTAGGCTGCAGCTAATCGTTACTTCGTCGAACAGTAAATTCTTGGGCTTTAAAGCTCACACAAACGCGTACCGAATCCTCGGAACTTTTTATTCGCGTGACGATAAATTCCACGCCTTATTCGAGAAATTCCCCAGATTAACTAAACCACTCGAGGAGATTTCATCGGTGACCAATCGTGTGGTACACCACATAGTCACCCGCGGACCACCAGTCACGGCAAGACCACGCCGACTGGCACCGGACAAATTAGCTTTCGCTAAACGTGAGTTTGACAATTTACTATCTGCTGGTATTATTCGTCCTTCTCACAGTCCTTGGGCCTCTCCTTTACATATGGTGCGCAAAAAGGATGGGGTTAGTTGGAGACCTTGCGGCGACTACCGAGCATTAAACGTAGTTACGCGCTTTGATAGCTACCCCATCCCCCACATACACGACATCACGGCATCGCTCAAGGGCACGACTATCTTTTCTAAAATCGATCTGGTACGAGCATATCACCAGATCCCAGTCGCTCTTGAAGACATCGAGAAAACTGCTATCACGACTCCTTTCGGTTTGTTTGAGTTCCTACGAATGCCATTTGGATTACGGAATGCTGCTCAAACTTTCCAAAGGTTTATCGATA